AGCTGACGCAGCGGGGCAGCTTGTTCAGCATGGCTCTGAGTGCTTTTGATGTCCTGACAGTCCCACTCATAAGACTCTGCAGCGCAGAACCTCCAAAGTTGTGATTGCTGCCAAACCACCATCGGCTTGTCTGCGTGGCGGGAGCGCATTCAAGGTGGAGTTGTCTCAAAGAGTATAGCTTTCACCTTCATTCTTGATTCCAGCAAGCTAGGTTGCCATGCATGTCTGAGGCGACCCTGGCTCTGCCGTGCCTTCAGGCAAAAGCCCTCTTGATTTTCGCACCGCAGTAGGGGCTCAGAAGATGCAGGATGATGCTCGCAGTTGGTAGGGAACCTTTGAGGCGCAGGAACAACCAGGCGGGGAAGCCTCTTCAGCCCAGGACTCAGACCATCATCCACCATAGACTCCTGCGGAGAAATCGGGTCTTGTCGCTGAATATCTGTGACGTGAATATGTAAACATAACATCTAGACTCACTCGGGCATACTCTATGGACAAGAGTTTTCCGAGGCGACGCAAGTGCAGCTCAGCCTCGAGGCATGTGCGGGTCTCTAAACTTGAGGTCGTCAGGTCCTTGAATTGAGCAGCACATGTTGCTGGGGGCTATTCTTTTGGGTTCTCGGGGTATAATCCGACTTGCTTATAGGCTCTCTTCAAATTTCATTAGGGCCATTGTTGGGTCACCAGTGAACACCACGGTCCCTCAATAATCTTGCTGGTACTGGTGTCCACGTTGGTGGTGTGCCATTTCACTCAACAATCCGGAATCGCTCTGTGTCTGTTTGCGAACAGCACAGAGTTTGCCACCGAACGCGATGGCCGGTACAGGCAACTTTGCGAAGCCGTGCGGCTCTGACCTTGTATTGCCCTACATACGTAGGTATGCCAGTGCTACCAGCCACCAGAACATCACAACTCAGGTGACTCGAACGTTGTACAGCGCAGCGGCACTGCGCCCAGAGCTTGCCATGAACCTGCGGTTTGCGTTCAAAGGCTAGGGGTGTTTCGGGGTTTGTTTTCATGACTCGTGGATGTTGGTGGTGGCCTCAATGTGCAGAGCGCAGAGCAGAATTCTGCTGAAAGAGCCCTTGCATCGACAAAGCTCTTTGGCTTCGCTGCTGCTCGGTGAAGGAGCCCGCTCCTCTTCATCCAGAAGGCGAGGTAGCCTCGTCAGTGATGCGCTCGGTGGTCGCAGCAAAGTTGCACGGGCGACACTTTGGGCTTCGGATTCTTGAGGCATCGCGAAGCCGCAGGCGTTGGTGATCCGTTTAGAGTTTAAAGCTTGACGTGGAGCGATGGCGATGTCACATTCTCGTCTCAGGCAGTTGCATAGCGCGGGTTTGTATAAAGGTTTGCTTGACTAAACTGTCCCGGTCTCTCCGAGGTGATTCAAGTGCCCCTCCAGGCACTTGCTATCTGATATCTGCTAGCATGCCCGAAGTCAGCGCAGCTTCAGGGTGTTTGTTGTGTGTTTACGCCCGGCTTACAGACTTGAGGGGCGTTTTGGAGGCGAGAAGCCCGGAACCACCAGACCTGGAACCACCCGACAATCCCTGGCCAGCGGTGCACTTAGAGCTGCTGTGAGAGTGTGAGAGAGAGTGTGTGAGAGAGAGTGTGGGAGAGAGTGTGAGAGAGAGAGTGTGTGTGGGAGAGTGTGTGTGAGAGTGTGTGTGTGAGAGTGTGCGTGAGAGTGTGAGAGTGTGCGTTTGTGTGTTTGTGTATTTGTGTGTTGGTTGTTTTGTCTTGTCTTGTTTTGTGTCTCTGTGTCTGTGTGTGTGTGTGTGTGTGGGTGTGTGGGTGTGTGGGTGTGTGTGTGTGTGTGTGTGTCAGTGTCAGTGTCTGTGTCTGTGTCTGTGTCTGTGTCTGTGTCGGTGTCCGTCTCCGTCTCCGTCTCTGTCCCTCGCCCCCCCCCCCTGCCCCCTCAAACCCCTCATTGGCCCTGGGGCTGAGGCGAGGACTCCTTGTGGTGAGAAGCTGACGGCCGCGCCGGTGCAATCAGTTCTCGTGTGTGAAGTTCAAAAATGGCGTGGGGTTCTAGCGGATTCCGGCGCCACCATTATGGCAAGTGTGCAGCTCATGGTGCCGCCCGGTGTTGCAAATCAGCCGAAGGCTTTTTGCAGTGCTTGGTGCCGCATCATGGGGCCATGGTACTCAGAAACACGTGCTGGAGGGGTAGTACACATTCACGGCATACAAGGGTGCAAGTGTCATGGAACTCGCACTTAGCTTCTTGACCTAGCGTGTGGCTTTTATTGTATCCTCCCCTGCTCTCCCTCCCCCTCTCTCCTCACTCCCTCCCTCCCTCTGTCTCTCTCTCTGTCTCCCCCTCCCTCCCTCGCGTACTGCTCTTAGTCTCAGTAAAATCAAAATAAAATGTCCTAAGCTCGGGCGGTATTTGCTTTCTGAGGGCCGAGGCAATTCATGGGCCACGCGGTGGCTCTGGACATGTAAATGGTAATCGGTTGGCGACAGCCTTTGGTCAGCAAATCTGTTTGGAAACACGGCAGTTCTTTTCGCCCTCGTCTCTATCGCTTCAAATTCGAGCTTCTGCCGATCAGAAGGCTGGACGTCAACCCTGCGCTGCGTTCTTCTCGGCTCATAGCATTTACTACGGTTCACTTTCCTCTAACTTCGACTTCGTACCACCATCGCCAGTTCATAACCAACATAACCAAACAACTCCCCCCCGGCAACCAGGGAGGCCATGAGGTTAATTGTGCTATTCGGAGGACGCTTAGCTGACAACGCGGTAGAAGCAACCTTTAAGCTGGCCAAGCCACCGCAGTTACAAAACGGGCAGCGCGCGTGATTCTTCTGTCGTACAAGCCAGTCGGAGAAGTAGACTTTTGGTTATCAGGGTTCAGGAAGGTAGAAGCCCTCTCCTGTCAGCTGATCGTATCCTAAACGTAGTATAGCTCCCGCATTGTAAGCCATGTAGGACCCTAAAGGAACAGGGCTTCCAGGTGACCCTAGAGATTTCATTGTCTGGTTGTTTGCTCTGCTTATGGCGTAGCCCTTCTGTGTCAGTCTGCTCTAGAGTTGGCGTTTGGTCAAGGATGTTGGACAGCAATGATAGGGGATACAGCCCTTGGCCGACACGGCCACATCACGAGATGCTACTGCTTTGTGTGTGTGGGACACGGCTGAGAAAACAGGAGGAAACAGGAGACCAGCAACATGAAATCCTCAGCCCTCGGCCCGACTCCAGACTCCGCCAAGGCCCATGTAGGCTTATCTGCAACTGGCTTGTGACAGCTGCAAGGGTTGTGGCTGACATGTGCATAGCTGACGCGTGATGTTACATCCAGCGAGTGTGACAGCATAACCTAGTCTCACCTAGATGCGGCATGCCACTCTACTTGAGGTGACCCACTCCGAAACCCTAAGAATCGCGTAGGCGCTAAAGTAATCTTTTTGCTCTCCCCAGCTTACCCAGAGCAGGCGCTCGTGAGAGTCAGAAACCCCCGATGTGTATCCTTAGAGCAATTGCGCAATGTCGCAGCTTTATTCTGTGCCGGACGTCTTTGGACTGCGCGTGGATGACCTGGAGGACATCAGGGATCTCAACCTGTGCTGAGAAAATGATTTTTGGGTGTGTCGGCGGGGATCGCCTGCACCTCCACGTCCCCTCGTGACGCCTTCGTGGTTGTGCGCAGGGATTGGGAGAGAAGAGATGTTGATCATCATGATGGCCATGATATCATGATTATGATCACCCCTCCCTGCCCGAACAGAGATCCAGGTAGCTGTACCCATCCCATTTCCCGACTGCCTCGTCGATGCTGCATCACGCACTTAGTTTCAAGTCGTCGTACAGCTCAGGTTCAGGTGCTGGCTGCAAACACCGCAGCACGACCCATGCCAGGCAGCCGAACTCCAATCCCTGCAATTCTGTTGATGGCAGCTAGGCTAGGCCACCCAAAACTAATTATACCCTGAACCCTTGAACCCTTGCCTCAAGAACTCTGCGGATAGCGATGAACTCAGCAAACGACGTCCCGCTCCACTCCAAGCGGAGGATTCAGAGGAGGGGGAGGAACAGCCGCTGGTGGGCTCCGAGCCGAACAAGCCGAAGGTTGGTGGGGAGATGAGGGGAGTTAAGGATGGCTCGGGACCGTTCAGGGCTTTTTGGGGCGAAACTGACCTTTGTTGACTGCCTTTGCAGGACATCCCTCCCTGATGTTACCTCCAGGTGAACAGAGTCGACGACGACGACGACGTCACTACAGTGGATGAGTGGTTGAACGGCTGCCTTAGAAACATGGATGCAGACGTGAGGCGCTTTAGTAGGGTGCTGGGGTGCAGCATTGAAGCTTTCAACTCGTGCGCAGCCAAGGAAACACCTGCTTCCTGCTCGCTGGAATGTTTTGTGGCGTCGTAGTCCTTGCAGCAGTGTTGGACACCGGTGGCCTGGAGCTAACCCAGCTAAGCTTGTCGGGTAAACACTCCTCGGCTGCAACTTCAACAACAGCCGTAAACCTCGGAAACCTGAGGGCTTCCGAGACTCTGTCAGCATCAGCCACTCCCATTCCGAAGGCCACACTTCCCGAGCTTCCTGAGTTCCGTCCTGGAAGGCTTGACTTGGTCTCTGCTGGCGAGTACAGGTATCCCTATGATCCGGGCCAAGGTGCATTTAATGCAAAGGCCATGGAGTGTCTCCGGCAGACGACTCCGGAGCTCGAACGCCTGGAATACCCAGACGATGCTGAAGAGCATTTCGAAGAACTGAACCGAACCATGAGCAAGTTCACCAAGGGTGTGAAGCCGCTGTGCGGCAAGATCTCGGCTGGCTTCTGTGGCCCATGGCTTGAGAACCACTGGATCGGGCATTTCAGCACCTTGTGGCGGAACCGCAAGAACGGCACACGGCTCCGTGACCTCTTTGGCCCGTATATTCCGATCTTGTTTCCGTTCCTAGATATATACATTCCGAATTTTTATCGTTACCCGAAAGGGCAGCTTGAGACGTTAAACCGCACGATGCGACCCAACGTGCTCTACTTGGCTGTATCTCAATGCGACGATGGCATCTTTGGACACTCGCCAAAGCGCGACTTAGTCAAGTTCAGGCAGACAGACTTCCCAAATATGTTGGTCATGAGCGCTGGTGGGTATGGCCACGTTCCATTGCCTTTGTTCAAGCAGGAGGAGGATCCAGTGCCAGCCGCGCCAATTATGGACAGAACATACGCGGCTTCCTTCATGGGTTCATTGGATCACGGACCTAAGGGGCTGAGAATCGGCATGAAGAAAAACAGTGAAGACTGGGGCAAAGCAAGAGGCAAGCAGGTTCGAATAGGGCGGGGCACGGACTGGAAGGAAGTCATGGGAAACACGAGCTTGAATCTCTCGCCACGTGGGTTCGGACGGAATTCCTACCGAACGGTAGAGCTGTTCCAGATGGGGTTGATACCTATTTATGTGCACGACAAAGTACCCTGGCTGTTCTACAAAGATCTTTGGATCGAGGAGAAGATTGGGTTTTTTTCGACCGCCGAAGCCTTGGGGCGAACCTTGGATCATGCTTTCTCAGATATTCCAAAGCTGCTGGAGATGGAAAGGCGGATCCGGGCCATGAGAGAGACCCATTTTACGCCACTGGGCATCTTGGATCAGATCTCCAAATTCATGACCGAACGGGATGGCGGTGGCGATCTCAGGTGCCAGGCCTTGCCAGACAGCGTACTCTGAAGGCTCTCGCGCTGCACTTCCCGGGCTCTACATCGGATTCCGTCACGCATCCCTGTTGCAGGCGCTGCAAAGAGAAATCCTTCATCTTGCTGGCTGCCACCAGAGTAATCAGCACGCTTCCATATCACCTAGGACAGCTGGGCTTCCGGGTCTTGTCTCCTTGGTCAGGATTTGTTCGGCTTGCGAGTTGGTGCAGGTTGTGGATGAGGTTGAGAAAGAGTGCCGGGTCATGGATCACCTTTGACGTCCCCGGAGGATTGCATACATCGTGCCGCAATCCCGTAGTTCTAAGTGCCGGGCATCGCCCCCCGGCGTTTTGAGGCTTTCAGTGTTCTAAGAGGATCCATAGATGGTCTAGGGTGTCCATAGTCAACTCAGCCCCACCCTTTGTGGGGAAGCTGGCGCTCCAGTGCGCCTAGAGACAAGGGCAAAGACTGGCATGAGGGGTTGAATTTGCTGGGGCAGGGTCGTGACTTCAGGCCCGAAACCTCAAAAGCAAAACAAAGCCCTGAGAAGGCAGCAACATTCTCTGCCACACCTCTGCCGCCGGTTTCCGTGCTCGAGTTGAAGAATCATCCACACATCAAGGGCTTGGGCGTTTCAGGGCCCTGCAGCTTCTGAGGGCTGAGATTTAGCTGGGTCGCTGCAGACTGCCACCGCTGAGGCAATCTGTTTACCAACGCGGGAACCCCCCTCAAGAAGCGTTGCTTTGCAAATAGCTTTAGAAGTCAAAGTCCCGAACATGATGCTCCGCAAGCCCCTATGAGGGCAAAGTCCTGATGAAGAGACGCTGAATGGGCTTCAGGTTCTCCGGTGTGAGCACCAACGTTCAAGTCCTGGGTTTTCGACGAGTCTTCAAGGGTTCCTGTTGAGCACTTCGGGGGGGTTTAGGGCAGAGGGTTTAGGGCAGGTTTGCCCTTAAGCTGGACTGGCTGCAAAAAGGCGTCTGAGGAACCTACATAGGCAGAACCAGGTGCCGTGGAGCCATGGGACGATGGGGCTCCTTGGGCGGCACCCTTTTTCGAAGGGATCTCTTCTTGTTACAGGGTGTTGCTGAATCCCCCAAGCGCAGGGGCACGGGGGCCCGAAGAACCGACCGCTTTCTGCATCCAAAGGTGCGCCATGCCACGGAGTCACGGTTGTGCCATGGCAGGCGGTCCTGCACCTTGCGTTCTCCTGCACGAAAGCATGACACACCCTCCAGCCACAACATCTTAAGTTTCAATGCCCTGACATGCCTGACATGCCTGCCATCATTGAGTCCTATAAGTGTGGCGTGAAGGCCATGTGCAGACCCTGAATTTGCATCACAAAGATCCAGACCTTGCTTGTATGCTTTCTGGGCTCACAGACTGCCACGCCTCCAAAGTCGCTTCTTGGGCAGGGCTTGGGCATTCAACACAGCGCAAGACACATGCACAGCATCATCCCTAACACCACCCAGCAGTTACCCACGCCGTGTACTTGGTCACCTAGATTTAGGGGACATCTGGGCTCGGTGCCTTGGCCTTGGCCACAATGCCCGTGGCCAGTCTGCAAAGTTCTCGAGCTCTTGAGCTTCTAGCATGGTGCCCATATGGTGCCCATACTGCTCAACCCACATCGTCTCTCAGGCAAGCAAGCCCTCCGAGAAACAGACCTCTGAGAAGGCTCCGACGCAGGGGACACGGGGATGAGATCCGAGCAGTGTCGGCTCGCAGAGGGTCGTACAAGTCGGGATGATGCCCCGAAGCTAAAGTTGTGTGCCATGGCTGTTGAGCCAGGCCTCCAAGAAAGCACCACTGCCGCCGCTGAAAGTAAGTGCGTCCTCTGTGGCTCATCTGCACCATCGTCAGAAGCCGCTGCCCTTTCGTGAATGTTGTGCTAGACCAACGAAGCTGCAGCTTTCTCAGCCTAGGCTTTCGTGTTGCAGGAAATTTGGAGGATTTGTCAGGATTTGTCAGTTAGTCTTCGGTTTTCCTTACACTCTGGGCCATGTGCTGCTCACGCTGCCGTCATTTTGAATCAACCCTCCCCTTCGTAGTGCAATCTCTGACACTGAATGCCAAGCTTGGGCCGCTTGGCTAACACTGCAAGAATCCCTGCATTCTGGGTGGAGTGTTGTTGGTCGCAGCTTGAGCGGAAAGGGCAGTGACTGCAATTCATCTAGTCTTTAGTCGGTGAAGAGGCAGGCTCCACATTCGACTTTCTGCGGCTGAGGATGTGACAATCAGCGGCATCATCGCGGGCGAGTACGTGGACGGACCCAGAACTTGCCGCAGCTTTTATCGCTAGGGCCAGGATACATCTAGAATCCTAAGTCCCAAGACCTGGAGCACCCACATGCACCTAAACAGTGGCAGTGTGAGCTGACCTGAGGTGCCAGACTCCACGAACCACGGGAAAGTGGTGTATAAGAGGAAGGAGAAGTCCCAAGGGATAGATGCGCCGCTCCTGCGTTTAGGGGTGGCATTTAGGCCAAAGCTGCGGGTTGGTTACCTTTAGCAAAAGAAGGGCCAAAAAGAAGCTATAACCTGCAGAAGCTTCCAAAATCCCCCCTTTAAGCCGCAACAAAGATACACAGCAAAAAAGATGTGAGATCTCCTGAAAGCGCCCGGGGATTTAGTTAACAGGCCGCCCCATTGTTTTGTAGACTTCAGGATTCGCGGTCAGCTTTGCCATCGGAGCATGTTTGCCCCAACAATTTCTGGGTTTGAAGGGTGAAGACCTGATCGAGATTGTCGGGCACAAACAACCTTCAGAAGCAAACCCTGCAATTCGCCCCAGAAGGCATCAAGTTCTAAACCTCAGTGCAATCCAAGATCCACCCTTAGGTCTTCCTCAAAGTAGGCCCCCCAGCCCAAAGATGTGAGGGTTGAAGGTTCACTAACTTAAGAACCCGAAACCTAAAATCCCGAAGCCCGAAACCTGAACCCCAAACCCTCAAAAAAACATGAGCAAGGAAGTGACAAGAGAACCTCAAAGGCTGGAGGAAGCCAAGGGAGGTAAGTCAAGGAATTCGACATTTTCTCCTTCTTGAGGAAGCCCTTCAACAAAATGAGGTCCATCTCCATTTTCGAAAAGGCCTCTATCCTTCGAGGACAGTTACACCCCGATAAAGTGAAAGAATTTTCCACCCTTTGTTTTTCTTTGAGCAGTCTTGATTCTGAAGCTGATTCAACCCCACCAAAGTTTACCATGCAACATGCCGTTAAAGAATTGCTTTCGGAATTCGGGGTCACAGGGCCATTTACCATACTCTTGTGGCCTCCCCCCTTGGGAACCGGCAGGTGCTGATTTATTTCTGGGACGAGCGGGACGGCCCTGAGCTCTGCGGCTGGTGGTTCGGCCCTAAAGCCCGGGCCTCAGATTCGAGAGAAGGCTTATCGGGTTTAGGGTTTGGGGTTTAGGGCTTAGGGCTTAGGGTTTAGGGTTAAGGGTTTGGGGTTTAGGGCTTAGGGTTTCGGGATTAGGGTTTAGGGTTTCTAAGTCAGCCGCCCTCTCTCTGGAGAAGGAAAGTCCGCGCTGTCCCATGCCGGCTCAGCCTTTCCTTTGAAGAGCTTCCGTTGTTCCGTCAGTCGACATCCCCTTTGGGGTTGCTTGAAGGAAGTGCCCAGGCAACTGATCGCATTGTGTGCACCGGGAGTCCACACTCCAACAAGAGGGGCTCAGGTCTCGAGGTTGGGAGGTTCACGGGCTGTTGAGGAGGTTTGACAAGTCGGTTGCAGAGCCCTTCTCTTTGCAACATCCACAGCAACCCAGGGAGGAACATCACAGATGTCACTAAATGATGAATCCTGAATGAAGAGCATCTTCCAGTCAGGGCTACTTTCAAGTTTTCTGCAACAAGTCCCCCATGAGCGATGTGCTACACATCAGTTTATGGCAACTATTCCTTACGCGTGTGAATCCCAGACACCCAGAACCCAGCAACATGATGAGCACCCTGCCCAAAGCACTGCCCGAACGCCCATATGCAGGTCAACCCTCGTGAGCCTAAGCCCTAAGCCCTAAGCCCTAAGCCTTGACCTAGAGGACCTAGAGGACCTAGAGGACCTAGAGCCCTTGCTGCAGGTGGGGGGCGACCAGGTGTGGGCCTACCACCCCAGCTGCACTGCGGGCACACCCCCGGCCTCACAGTGCCGAGAGCGGCACTTTTTTTTTTGTTGGGAGGATTTCGGGAGGAGAGAAGCCTGAAGAAGCCTGCAAAAAGTGAGGGTTTGGGTTGGCGTTTGAGAGCTCCTTTGGTGGAGAGAAGTTCAGCCGGGCGGATGCTTAGTTGCATTCCTGGTGCCTCTGAAACGGCTCTTCGGGGCGAAGTCCAAGCTCCAAGCACGTCGAACCCAGGAACCACGTGGCCTTTGAAGATCTCGCCCAAACTTTCAAACCCTGAAGCCCCAGAAGCCCAGGTGGAATGTCCCGCACGACGGCCCGATTGATCAGGTGGATGTGGGGATGCTGCTATGGCTACTAAGAATAATGCTATTAGTGATAATCATAATAGTGATGATGATAATAATAATAGCAATAATGATAATAATGATGATAATGATAACAATCTTTGTCTGTCCAGCGCCATCTCAGCATGCTGGTGTATCTCGCTACTCGTTCCTTCTTGACCAAAAGTGCCCTAACCGTGCAGCCGACGCTTGGCATGTTTTGGGGTGTTGCGGCTTTCGTACTTTGTGAGATATGAGGGGCAAGTGGTGTCGTATTTGGGGCTTACAACGTGCTGCGATGTACAGGGCTGGGGCCGTATTTCAAGCAAATCGAAGCTGCTGCTGGACACATTTGAGAACATGTTTCGGCACTCTTCTCAGACAAGTGGCCTGTCAGCTGCTTGGCAGGCTTTCTCCATCTCTGCCATTCGACCTGCGACTAACAGCAGCAAGCGCGCATCCTCAACGGCAAAGGCGGCTACGTGGCAAATTGGCAGGGTGCTTTGTTGCAGGAGGGCCGGAGGGCCTAGGATGCCGACATGGAACCTGAACACCATTCAAGGGAGCCCTGAGACGCATCTTCACCCACACACTTGCAAAAGCTTGGCTCCCTAAACCCAAAAGCCTCAACCGTAAACCCTGACATCCTGCAAAGCAGTTCTACGGTGGGTCTCACGCAGAAATATGCAGGCTGTAGGAGCCTCGCAGTTGAGGCCATGCTTAAGGCTGGTGCTGGGATGCCGATTCTGCTCTGTTGAGGAAAAGCCTGTGCCTGAAGCTGCGTCCAAGAAGCAGCGCACGGCAGAGGTGCGCAAGCATGGGTTTCCTATTTCATATTTCTGTCCTTGTGAGTCCAAAAAAGGGACCATAATTTAGAGAATTGGCCATGTGTGGTTGTAGAGTTCGGTGAGCATCACTGGACCCAATATACTGAGCTCCTGAACTGTCCTTGGGTGGGTCAAGCACGTTTGTGGCGCCCTGGACGGCCAGGTGCAGAAAAAGGACAAGGCCGAGAAGAGCACTGCGCGAAAAGCCAGCCAATCGAAGAAGCAGGTAACTGCGACTTGGCTGAAGATGCGGGGCCTCACGGCCCCTGCGAAACCCTGCCGCATGGCTTGTGCAACTGAGGTCGAGTCTTCCAGCGAGGATGAGGAAGAGGAGGAGGACGAAGAGAAGGAAGAAGAAGAGGACGAAGAGAAGGAAGAGAAGGAGGAGAAAGAGGACAAGGATGAAGAGGAAGAAGACGAAGATGAGGAAGACGAAGAAGATGAGGAAGAGGAGGAGGAGAAGCCCAAGTCCCGAAAGAAGGAAGCCTCACGAAGCAAGGCAAAGAAGGCGAGCTTTTGTGTGCCACGACCAGTACACTAACACCAAGGCTTATGGGATCGGTAGAATGCTGCGTGTGACTCTGTCATGCCCAGCTTGCAAGGACGAGGAGGAGGAGGACGACGACGAAGAGGAAGAGGAAGACGAGGATGGGGCTATTCAGTCTGACCAGTCTTCTGGGACAGCAGGTCGCTGTTGCACTGTTAGGCTCTGCTCTTGCCGATCGCAGGAGGACGAAGAGGAGGAAGACGAAAAGCCGAAGTCGAAGAAGGATAGCAAGCGAAGCTCCAGATCCGAAGGAAAGGGAGACAGCCCCATTCTCAGATGGAGTTGTGGGCAAGTTGAGGGTGTACCCTGTCACCCTGTCTGAGTATGGTCGTTTCGCAGTTTAAGCAGACAATGGCACGTGCTAAGCCAGTATGCCACAGCCACAAATCACTCAACGCCAAAGCCTGTTGTCGATCTGGCTCTCTTCAGGGTTGCTGAAACCACAGATCTTCTATTCGTTAGACCGACAACCGTCTAAGACCATGACACACACTTCAGAGTAGAGCGCAGGTGAAGGTTTGGGGCTTATGGGAGAACTTGATGGGCTGCAATCGTTTCTCCACCGATCGCTTGAGAACTGTAGAACAGTGTTTCTCAAGGAATGCTTCGCCCATATGGCAGTAGCAGATCTTTTCGGGCAGAGCGTGCAGCACAACCTCGAAGTATGGGAAGATGAGCATGGACTTTTGTTCCAGTGTTCAATATTTCATTGGAATACCCTGCAGGTTCAGAGAAGAAGCCAGAATCTGCGGGCAACTACTTCGCAGCGGGCTTGGCCTGAACTTTTGCCAGAAAACTACAGGGGGCATGTGCGTCCCCACCTGCTGCCCAACAGCGTTTGGTCAAGCATTCCAGTATGCTTGTGACTACGAGTCATTTGGGGGCTCCAGCTGAGAAAACTGAGGTATGGATTGGCAGATGTGGGGTTCAGGGTCCTAAATGCAGGCTTAGAACCTTGCTGCCTCCATTTTGCTGTTGGAGCCTCAACTGGGCTGCCCAAGATTCCCCCACTTTCCCAAAAGCACCTCATGCACTTGTGGGACCTAAAAACCCCCCCCATAGGCCCAGAAACGCCAGGAGTCTGAGACCCCTTTGGGGTTGAGGGTTTGGGTTGAGGTCACCGCGTACAACAAGCGCCGGGAGGCCTCCGGAGCCGAAGAGCGTGAGAAACGTAGAAGCTGTAAAGATGCTTTGGGGGGAGAAGCGAGCCTAGGGCGTACTTGTAGGGTCTAAAGAGCCTAACGTTTCTGCTTTGGGGCTCTGAATGTCGGGGCTTCGACATGGCCTTTGGGTCTGCAGTGGAAGCGAAGTAACCATCAGATCCGATAGGGCACCATGAGTAGGAGCATTGCTGTCAAGGCGTCATGCAGCCAGGCCAACCTACAGGGTCCTCGCACTAAAACACACGGATCCACCCCAATCCTTCAGATCCGCCAAACAAGGTTATGGGGTTTCGGAAAAATTTCGGAAACCCAGCGAAAGGCCCTTGACCGCAAGACCCCAGCTTAACAAACCTTCCCAAACCCCGCCCATGCTGGACTTTTTGGGAGCCCAAAACCTTGCCTGCCTAACCCGGGAAAGCCTGTGGGCCCTAAAGCCTAAACCCTAAACCCTTTGAACCCCAAGTGTGGGTTAAGGTTTCGTGGAGCGACTGCTAGACGGGTGGCAAAAAATTGCTGGGGGGTGGCAAAAGAACTTGGGTTGCTTGCGTTTGGAGGGGGGCGGGCTTTCTTGGGCCTGTTCCAGGAACGGGCAAAAGCTGAAGAGGAGCGGAAGAGGGCCGACAAATCGAAGGCACGAAGCTCTTCCTGAAAGGGTTTCGGCCAAAGAAAAGGGTTTAGGATTAAAGGGGCTGAGATTTACAGGGTTCGAACCTTGAATCTTGAGGGTTTCGGCCTCTTCCTATAGCTTTGGGTGTGGGATTTGGGCCTCGCGTCGAGGGTATCGACAGTGGGGTTGGGTCACGAGTCCCCATGACCTGCTACACATGGACTTCGAGCCAAGAGAATTTGGATTGTCCACAACAACACCGGGTCACCGACATACGCAAATCAATCTGCCGGGAGTTACGCCAAAAGCAGAGCCAACAGAACAAACCAAGAACGCTCTGGTACAGTAAGAACCTGCCCTTATAGCGGCTACACACTGGGAATGGAGCAGCGGCTTGAGATCAGATGGGATTTCGGCTTTTGGGCTTCCGGTTTTGAATCCCAAGTCGCGAGCAGCAGGGGTTAAATCAAAGGCTATTTGGGATTGCCATGCCTCGGGAAAGGGTGTCTACCCTATCAAGTCCGAAGCCAAGTCGCGTTCAGGATCCTCGACACAAGAGCCCTCAACCCCACAGCCAGGCCCCGGCCAATGGCGCAGCCGCAGCCGCTTGGAGCGAAAAACTGGGGGCCTGTAGGTCTGCACAGGTGCCTTAGAGGCCAATCGAGCTCCTGGATCAAGCACGGGTCCAAACCTTGATGTTAGGCAAAGGAGAAATCCACGAAGGATGATGAGGCCGACGAGGACGAGGCCTTCTTCCTGTGGCTTTCGCGTATCCAACTATGCCAGCTAAGAGAGAGGGAGAGGGAGAGAGAGAGAGAGAGAGAGAGAGAGAGACGATTGGGATGTGTGTGGCCTTCGAAGGACAAGGTTGCCATGGCTGGGGAGCAGTTGTGTAGCCATGCTCTGTGTAGCCATGCCCTGGGAGTCCTCGGCCTCCTGAAGTCTCGACTTTGGGCAGGTACGTATGCTGGAGGAGCTGCGAAAGCGAGCCGAGGAACGGAAGAAGAAGATGGAGGATCTCTGGGCCCCGAAACAGAGTTGGCAAAGCATAGCTCTCTGAAGTGGGGGCTAGAGGTAGTTTAAGATGGTAGCATGTAAGCACTTTAAGCAACAAGGCAGCAGAGTGTCAACGGTTTAACCGTGGACTAGCACTGAAGGGTCCGCAGCGTCGCCCTTACGTGGATTGTGTGCATGGCCCAGCTATCAGGACCTCAAGAAGAAGGAGGATGGGCTGCTTCCGGGCAGGGTTTTGAGTATAACTCCGCAAGTCTCGAAGAAGCTTTGATCGGTATCCCCGCAGGCTTCCGTGCGGCCGCCCCCAGCCGAGCCAGCCTCCTTTGACGTATCCTCGTCTGCCGCAGGAGGAACTCAAGAAAAAGGCCGCTCCGAAGGAGGACCTTTGTTTGCAAACGGCTTCCTTTACAGAATCCGACGGCCACGAAAGTTCCCTTGCCGTGTCTGCAGCTTGGTGTCTTGTAGGTGTTCTGGTTTGTCCAAGTCGAATCACTTCTTGGTGCTTTGGTTTTGCTTCGACCTTATGCTTGGCATTACTACTTAACCATGGTACTCTTGAAGCAACATAATGGTTGTAAACCAGACTCCTGCATATGGACCATGAAAATCAGTATATACATATATAACATACAGACAGACATACATACATACATATGCGCTTAAGTGGTCCGAAATGGGTCCGTATTCATCGCTCTCTTTGTTGACCTAACCCTTCAGCCTAAACCCTTAACCCTAAGCCCTAAACCCGCACCCAGCCAAGGAGAGCAAGCCAGAAACCAAGGTCGATCTCCCGATTGATGTGCCGGTTGGCAGGGATCTGTATAGGGTTTAGGGTTCAGTGTTTAGGGTTTAGGGTTTAGGGGCACCGCAAACACAGCTGCACTTCTGCACTCCATTTTCGGAGATCAGGGAAGGTGTCACCGTCGGTATGGGGTTGGCGATGCACGCCAAGAAGGAGAACGTAGAATTGCAGAACTTGTTTGGCCAGCATAGGGATATTTGACCTTCTGCCCCAAAGCACCATGCACTAAATCCGATTGCCAGAGTCGAAGCCGAAGCACAAGAGCCTGAATCCAGCAATGGGTTCGCTTGCCTGCTGTTCCTTGCAGGCCAAAGAATCCAAGGAGCGCAGGGTGCCGATGGCGTCCAGTGTTGTCGGGACTCTTTGTATTTCAGTGTCAGAACTGCTGCAAGAAGGCGAAGAGGTGATTCGCGCTCCCTGACTCAGCTTATGCAGACATACAGAGGATGCTGTGAAAGGAGGGTGTTTCTGGTCTCTTCCAATGGTAGCGTGGTCAGCGGCCGCAAATGCTGTGCTCCCCTCCCCAACCCAAAAGGGTGACCTTGTCAAATAAAGAAATGGAGACGAACCGCTGTTCCCAGGGACCTGCCACTACATTCCAAAGTTGCGATTCCTTTTCCCTTCAACTTGAAAGTCCAAACTCAAAGCCCCCAAACCCACACAAAACCCGAATCCCAAACTCCAAAACCATGCCAAACCCTTAAAAAGGAGAAGCGATCGAAGGAGGAGAGCCAAGATGAGCCTTCGCGTCCCCGAAAGGGCCGCGAGGCTCCATGTGTTGTTCATTTTTTTTCAACCCGGGGGTTAAGCTGTTCAGCGTTGCCCCTTGTGGATTTGGGTTCTTGGCGCTTCTTTGAGGGTTTAGCCTTGAGGTTTTCGGGTAAGGAGCCGTGCTTGCAGACGGTTTTCAGACTCCTCCTACAAACCAGTCCTTCCTGAGAAGGCCAACCACTGGGATCATCAGCACGAAAATCGTGGGGGCTGCTGAGATTCGTGCTGCCACACCCCCTGCAGCCTATTCCCGGTAGCCCAAACCTCCGTCCGACATCCACGTCTGCCTGTAAAAGTCTTCCAGGGCTGTTTGGCCGAGCAGCATGGCAAGCCCCACACAAAGATTCGTGACGGCAACGACTGTGCACGAAGCAGGGTGCGTCAAAACCCTAAGGACCCCAGGAGGCAAAATCGGCTCATCCAACGTCCGGTGCCCCGCAGGACCGAGACCGGGAGGATCGAGGGCGCGACCGCCGCGGGGACGGGCGCAAACGCTACCGCTCCGAGGCCGTAGTATTCTAACTTGCTTCAGGCTTGAGGAGTGGCTCTTAGGACAGGGCTGCTTTTTTGGCTTCTATAATTAGGGTTTAAGGCGATTTCGAGCATCTGTTGGAAAACTTTGGCCAGCAGCCTTGAAAAAAGGGGATTGGAGGAGTTTTGCTTCGTCTTTCGCCGCCACCATGAGAAGCAAAGCCCGGGATGCTTCAAGTGGCAAGCAGGTCAGTGATCCACACTCTCTTTGGGCTCGATCTGGCCTTTCCAGCTTTCGAGCGGGCGTCGGGGTCACTAGCTTCTTCCTCAATCCCACACCGAGCCCCTCATGTAAAGGTGGCAACCCTTCAACGTCCGAAACCTACAGGCTGCAAAGCTCAAATCTCACAGGGTCCCACTAAGCTGGGTGTACCAGAGAGCTGACACTGCCCCAAGCCCTGTAATTTTTCATCTACATATTTTACGATTCTGTGTGCTCGAGACATGGAGGACCGGAGAAAGGAAAGCGAACCGCGGAAGGGTCGGGACCGGGAGGCCCGTCTGTCTGCACAAAGCAGTTCTGGGCTTGCCGGGACCGTTAGAGGCAATCTGCTTTCTAGCCTCCATCCACTGATAGCCGTGGTACATCATGGTACATCCCATCGCTCGGAAACCGAAAAGCTCTGGAGCCGTTCACAGGACCGCGACGATCGGGGGCGCGATCGGAGGGGAGATCGCCGGGGCCGAGACCGCTCGGAGGATTCGATGGTCCCATTGACTCCATTGACATGGAGTGGGTCATGTTGAAGTCTAAGTTCAAATCCAAAAGTTCTAAGTTCAAGTCTTCGAAGGTTCTTTGTTAGCAACGTAAGCATCAAGAGGGTCTTTGAGGAGTCCAAACGTCGTAGCTAGGTGGCACAGACCTAAAGAGGGTTGGAGGCAAAACATCGAAAGCCCGAAGCATAAAGTCTTGAAACCTCAAAGCCCTTGATGGCAGACTGCAGCTAAGAAATTGGAGGACCGCCGCCGGGACGACCGGGGCCGTGATCGACGTGGAGATCGCCGGGGTCGCGAACGGTCCGAGGCACTGCTATCTGCCTGTTCTTGCGAGCGGGGACACGGTGATGCTTACTGAGAACGCACGGCTTTCAACGGCTCCGCACGGCTTCAACACATCGCTTTCTTCCAGGCGTGAGGGTCGATATAGGAGATGACGAGGTCTTGTGGCAACTTGTAGCAGACGAGCCCGGGAAGTGCAAGAAGGGAGGCTAAGGAGGCTAGATATCCTGGTCCATCGCAGCACAGGACAGGCGCCGCGATGACCGCGGGCGCGACAGGCGCGGCGACCACCGCGGCCGAGATCGATCTGAGGATTGGACTTGCCACCCAAGCCTGAACAACCGACCCCAACGTCAGACCATGTAAGAGCTGTACATATCTGAGCATATCTACAAAGAGCTGGGGCTTCGGGCACTCAGCAGCAAGGTTGAGGTTCTATTGCTATTGTCTGAGTCTGAGGCCCTTGAGATCCCTTGGGCTTGCGGTCCAACAGCAGAGATAGTCCCCTTACCTGCCATCAGCTTGCAAGCTTCAAGTTGACAAAAACCTCCACGGAGCCCGCCGAACTCTACCTCGATTCCCCAGGACCGACGAAAGGCAGACAGCCCAGACAAGCGAAAGGCAAAAGAGGACGTGGCTTTGGGGGTTTTGAGGTTTCGGCCGAAGATTCAGCTGCCTGCAAGTGCAGCGAACGGTTTCGTGTGGAGCGGAGGGGCTTGGGCAAAACATCCTTTTAGGGCTCGGCATGTAGGCTCTATCCCGAACTGAACTCAGCTGAAGAAGCCAGGTCCAGACGTGCGTGGCGTGCGTAGTGTGCGTGGTGGTCGTGCGCGTCGTGCTCGGGATGGCGTCAAATGCGCGTGCCGTGCGCGTGCGTGGCGTGTGCGTGTGCACATGCGCGTGCGTGGCGTGTGCGTGTGCACATGCGCGCACAAAGAGCTTGACAAGCAGGAGCGCGACGAAAGTGAGCGAGGCGACAGACGTCAGCGAGAGCCTTCTGAGGACCTTTTTCTGCAAATGCTTTGCAGGGGTTAGCATTTTTGCATTTCCGGGTCAGTCTTGCGGTTGGTTTCCCGAATACCGCCTTGTCTGATCTCAAGCGTCCCATCACGTCTCGCAGTGAGGATGCAAGGCTAATGCCAGGTGCGTGTCCTTTGGGCTGTTTGGGGCACTTCTCGGGATGTCGAGGGTCTTCACTTTTCGAGGTTCGGAGGTGGAGATGGACAGGCATAGCAGCGATGATCAGGATTCAGGTTGGCGTCTTCGGAAGAAGCACTTGCTGGCCAGAAGAACATCCCCATAGCCTTTGCCACTTCTGCCGCATGCCCATGCATAACCTCTGTACACCCGTACACCCCCACCTGGGAGGATGACGAAGATGAGTGCCGTGTCAGCAATGGTGGCCCATAGCTATCACTGCGCAAAGCAACGCCAAGAACATTCGAACATTCCGTGCTTGATTGCCCGATTCACCCATCAATTCATGCTCCAGCAGCATGCAGTTCCGAAATCCGAAAGTTCAGCCTCTCCCTGAACCAACACAGGCGACAAGAAAAGAAGCGCCGCCAGGACGAGGAGGCTTGAGTGTTTATGTGAAGCCGGGGAGAGCTTCAGGATATGGTGTGCTGGGCAGTTGGTTGCTGCTGTGCCAGGAAAAGAGCAAAGCCGAAGCTGACAGGACTGGACTGCGCATGACTGCACATGACTGCACCCACAACACAACCAAAACACACACACACACACACACAAGCACTCTGACATGTTGCACTTTCATATGTGTACTGCCATGTATCTTTCCAGGAAAGCCGAGCGAGAAAAAGAAGAGGCAGCTGAGGAGAGACGCAAACTGGAGGATACCGACCGCGGAGCTCAAGAGTTGCCCGAAATCGTCGAGCATTGCGAGTTTTTCTGCTGAGGGTTTTTCCATTCTAAGCAAGTGGAGCAATGCTGGTTGAGATGGGAAATCTGTGATTTCAACCCCTGGGCAAGCGACAGCATGTGTCGCCTTGATTTAAATTGCAAGCTGCATGAGCTTGCGGAGCAGGAGCTGAAGAGGGAGGACACCAGGACTCCTGTCCGCAAGCAGATGAGCCCTTGGTGGACCCCTTGCCTCGACAGTTCTTCGTTGGAATCTCTTAGGGCATGTGGAGAGCGGAGCTTTGCTTTACCGGAGCCACGATTCAGCCCCACGTAGAGGCTGAACAGTAGTGGCGTGGTAAGAAGTCTTCAAGTCTTCCAGAACTTACAGCCTGATGTTACCACACACACACATTCTCTCGGAGTCAGGATTGCGTGCTCCCACCTGGCACATCCCAAGCCTTCACTCGTTGCCTCGCCCGAAGCTCCCATCTCCCCGATTCATCGAATCCTAATAAACCACGGCTCATGATCTTTCAAGGAAGCTCACATCGAGCGACTCGCCCAATGCCCCGAGGGCAAAAAAGCAAAACCACCAGCCCGGCCACGAGCTTGAGTCGAATCTGTCGAATCTCCGCCCCAAAAGCTTGAAAAACCCTCTGCGAGAGTCGAAGCCCTCTACATGGGCACCCAAAGCCCGGCCCTAAACTCCTAAACCAACCCGAAATACTAAAGTCTCAGGCGTCGGACTGACCGCTCAGAGCCCAAGCTCAGCCTCGAGGAGGCCACTTTTTTGAGAGCCTTGCAGATTTCAAGACTTTGGGCACAGAATTTGGGGGATCGTGGGAGTCAAGAGGCATGTAGACTCAGGAGCTTTGAGCCAGGAGACATGTTGATAACAAGTGATGTTTTCAAGGGGGTTTACACACAGCAAAGAGACGAATAACTAACAGCGTGCAAAGGTTGTGTGGTGTGATGTTGTGTGGCACCAACAGCCAACTCACCATACCTCCCGAGCTCCCAAGCTTTGGCACCAGGAAAAGAGAAAGAAGGAAGAAGAGATGAGGTGCAACGGGTTGCGGAACGTGCTGCCATGTTACGGCTCATCTGGCCTCAGTCGGGCTGCCGTCTGAACTCCCAAGCTCAAGCGCCCCAATGCCCTGAATCCTGAATCGGTTCCCCAACTTGAAGAGTACCTTCCCAAGCCAATGTCGCCCCAGGCTTAGGGAAGAAGAGCTGCAGAAGCGGCGTGAGAAGAAGCGAGCGCTCGAGCAGGAGGCTCCTAGTCTGGCAGACGCTGTTCAAGTGCCCTGCGGCTTTCTGCTTTCTGAGAGGGGGCTGGTTCTTCGCCATCTCCTCGACCCGGAACCTCAAAACCCTCGGCAGTCTGCGAGGGGGCAGCCAGAACAACAAATCTTCAAGCGCTTGCTCCCAGACTACGAACTCCCACTTGCACAAGACTAGCAGCCCTACTGCAGCAGGAGAAGACCAAGAGTGATGCCGACAGGCCTTGCTCGGGGCTTGCGTGCCCATCTTCTCTGTTCTTGAGGCAATTGTCTGTTGATCTGTTGACTATTTTTCTGTATCTGCTGGGAGCGCGCTTTTGACCCCTGCGGCTCAAGACCAATCAACAAATAGTGAGAAAGAAACAGCCAGAACTGTTCAAAGTTAGAATAAGGTAGAACACCCGCATGTGACTTTATTCACATTGTTGGTTCTTGTTAGGGCCAGGTCCCTCCTGGAATCGGTTGGATGGGAATGTCATTCAATCCACAGGACTCTGGCAAGCTAGCGGATGGAGCTACAGCTATACAGCTGACGTGCCTGCCCGCGAAGCTAACGGCCAGCAGTTGCCAGGAGATATTAGACCAGTTTTGGCCGGGCTGCTATGACTTTGTGCATGTCCAGCGTGACAAGATCAAAGCAAAGAAGATGGCCACGGCCTTGTTCAATTTCTCAGAGCATGCGACGGCGTGCGCAGCCTACGCGTACTTTCAGGGTCACGGGATGGACAGTCGTTTGGGAAGCAAGTTTCGCGTTTGCCAGGCAGAAGTGCAGGGCCTAAGTCAGAACCTGGCGTGCTTCATCGCCAAGAGTGGGCTTTCGGACTGGGATGGTCCGCAGGTACCACGGGTCTTTGAAAACGGATGTTGCATCAACCTGCTGGAAGCCGCTGAGAAGCACGTCACCATGCAGCTTTTGGCGGAGGCGTCCGAACGCATGAAAGCCATTGAAAACCCACGAGCTCGGCAGAATGCACCGAGGGGAAAGCTGCCCAAGCAAGACTCTCGCGGAGGTAATGCCAGCGCAGGCACAGGCAATGCGGGCAGAGGCTATGTACCTCATGTCAATCATGTCAAGCAGCCGCCGGGTCAGCGCGACATGAGAGATGATAGCCGTAGCTCAACGAGGGTTTGGGCAGAAGGCGCAGGGACCGATCCAGGCGCAGCTAGCTCATGCTCATCGAGCCATGTGCAAGCAAAGTGGCACAGCTCGGCTGAAACCTTCGACCAACGTGGCTGTGGGCTTGCCGAGCCTTGGGGCTCCCAGCTTGCTCGCAAAGAACTACCCGACGGCTCTATATGTTTTTGCCTGTGAGTGAATCTACAACCATGGACTTCTCCCATGCCCACACCCCACAGCCTTCCATGTTGAAGTGCTTGAAGCTGAGGGCCTGGGAGATGAGTCGAGTCGGAGACGACAGTTGTTTCTCTCCTTTTTTACTTTTTTGCATCAATGCGGCGCATGTAGAGAGTTCAGAGAATTCCACCTGCGCAGCATGAGAACTTTTTGTAGAATGCAGTTTGCTTCTGCGCGACTGGGGGTTGCAAGCACCTCTTTGGGACTTGCATGACTTAGTTTAGAACCTTCGCGCATGGATCAGCACCGAATGCAACAATATTAAGGCGTCACCACAAGCCTGCTCAGGCAGAGTCTGTACAGGGATAGAAATGGAACAGCGCATCCTCGATGCGTCAGTAGGGCGACGAGCTGGCTCCTTCGTGCCACGACACAGAGGCTCACGCACCGGTTTTCATATCTTCGCCGGTTGCCTGGCCAAACTGAGTAGGCCGGAAGCGATTGGCAGAGTTGAGACTTCACTGCGGGCGGGACGGGGGCATGCATGCGCACGCTAAATCGGCTCCGTCCTGTTGCTCCGCTTCTCCTCTCTTTGCTTCGAGTTGACTTGTGAGCAGGTTTCCAAGCAAGCTTGTCCAAGAATGGGTTCAAAAAGGGTCGGAGCAACGGCGAATCGGGCGTGAAACCGTCTTCATGCGCTAATCAATCCCGCTTGCGCGCGTTTCACCGCAATGCACCAGATTCAGATGGCAAGGTCCACCATGGCAGTTTTCTAGATTCGCCTTGAGGGGTTTGTACATCTGTAAAAGAGGATGTGGGCCTTGACGCAGAGAGATCCAGCTAGAAACCAAAAGATACCAAAAGGTGCATATGCTGGGGTGGGGCAGGTAAGGGAAGGTTCATGTCGCATTTCTGTTCTGGCATGTCGGGCGCAGGAAAGACCGGCAGAAGGACAGACGGGTGGACGAGGATAAGAGAAAGGATGACGAGGAGCACCGGGAGTCAACTCGTACCCCAAGTGGGTCCTAAACCACAAGCTGCGCCCCAGGCCCGAACCAAACCCAAATCCCGATGGAATGTGGGGTAGCACAGGGCCACCCTGAAGCATCACGCCAGGACAAGGACAAGGAGGATCCGAAGCTCCTTGAACACAATCGGATTGAGCTACCCAATTCAGCGCAAGTAGCGACAAACCCATGTTCATTGTTGGGGTGGCCGCGGCACCCAGGCAGAAAGAGGAAGACACCCGCAAAAGGCTGGAGCAAGAAGCCAAAGTTCTCCGTGAACAGCAGGTGCCGCAACGCACGTGGACTTGTGGGCGGGAGGAATGAGCCGACCGGCATAGCCGGTACTGTCTAAAGCGCACTGCATCCCTGATAGGCGATGCTCAATGTTCTCAGGGTGCTGCAGAAGTTGCTCAGACGGCATTTACATTCAGCCGTTCCAGAAAGCACAGCATGCTCCAAGCCCCATCTAAGGCTGTCGAATGCGACGCCCGAGACGTTTGAGTCTCTGAAGAAGGACATGTGACGTCACCAGCTTCCCACTTCAACAACCCAAACCTGGTTTCAGAGAGAGGGGGGCAAGATTCGTGGTTTCATGACTTGTCTTGCCTGTGCTTGCAATCCTCAGCATTAGCCTTCGCAACCAACTAGCATCCCTGGCAACACTGACTTCCAGCTGCAAAAGGGGCTCACCAGCTCTTCTGCACCACCCCAACTCCCCAAACTGTACCCCCTCAGATGATTTCTGGCATCAGGTCGAGCGCCGCTCCTGCCCATACACAAGCGTCCAAAATCCTGTGACCCTCTTTCCTAGGTAGGATAAGGGGGACCCCGAAAAGGGAACCCTTCTTAACCCTCTTCTGGCTCTCTTGAACAGGGACCTTATTCAGAAGGTCTACACCCCCAAGAGTCCCCCTAATCCTATTCCCTAATCTTGTGTACATCAGCAGACCCCACAACAGCCCAGAGCTTCCCAATGCAGGAGCTGGAGGAGGCCGCTTAGGGTTAGTAGGGATTCTTATGGGAATGTGCTTTTGAATTTTTGGGTTCTGTAACTCCTGAGAAACAGCTACAATTGTGATTTTCCTAGGGTTCAAGTTCAGTATCAGAAGTTTAGGGCTGTTTAGGGCTTTGGGAAGGAGAATAGACCCATGCTGCATTTCGGGTTTAGGATGCTTTCGGGCTTGCGATGGAATCGCGACGCAACACCAAAGCCCTCGCCCGGGGTGTGTATGGCATGTGTATGCCCTGTCGAGGGTCCCGAACTGTGGGGCTCAGAGTCCAAGGGTTCTTTGCGGGAAGGACTGGCCTTGAATCTCCCAAATGGCCGCACAGCGCGAAGCCTCTATTTTTCGCAGCGCCCAGCAAGCGAAGCCAGCAGACCAGGTGTGCAATCCACTGGCACAGAGGCGAAACCAAACAGACAAACAAAGGACCTTTAATTTCTGTTGACCTGGACCTGTCCGAACAAGTTTACTAAGCCCTGCCAAGAGCTCGTCGGCCCTGAAAGACCCTAGAGCCTAGAGCCCAAAACCCAAGAAACCCGACGCCTGGTGAGTCGCTATTGAAGGCTTCAGGAACACAAGTGCTGCAGGTCTTGCGAACCGAGCTGCCTGAGACGGGCGAGCAGCAGACGGTCCTCAAGGCCTCGTGGGACAGCAAGGGCTTAGGGCTTAAGAGGTTTTGGAGTGGTTTCGGGTTTTTGCGCACGTGGCTTTTGGGCCTTGAAGCTTTAAGACGACTGCCTCCCCCGAGCGGGCCTGATGGGTTATTGTAAGACTGCCACTGAGGACACCCAAGTTGAAATGGGTGTACCCTTCATATACCTCCAAAGAGGGTAGAACCCTTATTAAAGGAGCCCCCGAAAAGGGTACCCCCCATTTTCTGAAGCCCCCAAATCCATCGCCCCAAGCTGAAATCCATTTCGCCAGGCAGAGGCCGATCGCGTTTTGGAGTATGCGAAGCTTTATGTGGCTGAGGCTGGTCATATCTGGTCATGCTGTTTGCTTCGAGACGGGTTCAGCGTGTTTGGGTACTCAGCGTGTGCACCCGAGGTTTCAGGCAAAAAGCCTGGCTCCTGAGTGCGAAGGCACAGGATTCCGAGGATATCAGAGAATCAGAAAGCGTGAGCTTATTCGTCCTTGGCATCCGGATGGCGCGCGATTCCACGAGGGGCAATTCACTTACGTTATGCTTTTCAGGGACTCAGGGCTTAAGCCGCTGCATTTTTAGATTTTTTCGGGCTTGGCTCAGGCCGTATTTACTTTGGACCTTACTTCTCGCCTTTTCAAAGTTTTGCTGATGCCACTAGTGGCAGTTTGGATCTTGCAGCATCCTGGGAGCATCATATGGCATATGTGCATGCACATGGCACGCAAGGTAGAGCAGCATCCGGTTGCTCGGGAGAAGTTTCCTAAGCTCAAAAGGCTGCCACTGCGACAGTTAGGCGTAGTTGCTGCCACAGTGGCTGCAAATGCCTTGGTCATCTTCGAATGTAGATCTGGGTAGGGTTTTTCGCTTAGAAACCGTCAGGTGGCATTTGCTTCCCACGAGTGCTCAGCGTCACAAGCTCTTGCACATAGGACGTTGCCAGTAGCGTTTTGCCTCGGCTGGTGAAGTGGAGCAAGTTTTGCGGATCAGGCACGTGCTTCAACCACTTCGGCCGAAGTGGCTTTCTTGAGCAGTCCGAAATGAAGAGTCACGGTAGAACCTGCAAGATACATCTACCTGCCCCTAGATGCAGTTATGAGAGTGCCACTCCGCACTGGAATGTGTGAGGGGATTGCGCTTGACAGACCTGCGCGGCTTCGAGTTAACACCGTCGTTGTGTCAAATGTCTTCCATTGCGGCTTTTGTGCTCCTGCCTGGGTCCTTCCCTGCGTGCGAGCTGCCTTGCTTGGAGGTTCCTGGATCAGGGACATCAACTGACTGAGGCCTGGCGTGGGGAAAGGTGGAGGTCGCAATTGAAGCCTCAGGGCTTGAAGAAGGTACAAGGAACTCAGACGAAAATTTGAGAAATCGGAAGCCTCTACGTCGACTTTACGTACTACGTCGGGCAGGGGAATGCAGGGCCGACGGAGATGCATGACGATTGCTCGTTCTTGCTGTGTTGTGTTCTGCGTGCCTCCTCTATTTCCTTTGAGCTTCCTGATCTCCACCCTGCACGTGGATCGAAGGAGGGCCTTCGAGTTTTCTTTCTCGGCATCAGGCAAGCAATGTAAGAGGGCAGCTGCATCAGACGCACAAAAAGATACGGGCATGTACGTGCAAATATGGCAGAGGGCTCAGTCGGAACAGAGCTTGTTAACGATGGTTCGTGCTTGCCATGAATGACCAGCGCCTGCCGCCGCCTCCCACATGGGAGCATCAATCCTCGGCGTACCCAGACCTGCCAGAAGTGCCAAAGCTTGCACCAGACGTGGCCTGGGTTGCCTTTGAGAATGCGGCGGCCGAGACGGCCGCAAGGATCCGCTCTGGCCTGAGCCTGCCATCCTCGAATTCCTCACCTGATGCCAAAGGCATCAAAGGCATTCCAGGACGATCACGGCGCCGCTATGGCAGCGAGCCTCCACCCTCACCCGTGCGCTGGCCCTCCTTCTCGCCGCGGCCTTGGCGGCCCGGAGCCCTGGGGGGGCTTCCGGGCTCGCTGCCCCCAGCCCTTCCTGGCGTCCTCTCGGGGCGGTTGGCGGGGCTGGAGCTGCCACAGCCACCTCTGCCGCCCGTAGCCGGTGAGCTGCGGCTTCGTCTGGAGGCTTTGGAATACCGAGAGGGCCGAGAGAGCCGAGAGGCCCGCAAAGGCAGCCTGGCACTGGAGCTGGAAAGGACGCGCAGCGCCTACATCGTGATCCAAGGAGAGCTGGAGCAGAAATCTGAGGAACAGGGTCTTCTTCAGAGGGAGATTACGGGCCTGAGGGCTGATCTTGAAAAGGTCAGCGAGGAGAAGGAAAGCCTGCAGCAGGCCCTGCACCTTCTTGAAGAGTCGAAGGCGGAGGTGGCCACGCAGGTTGCGCAGGCGGAGCAGGAGCGCGGTCGCTTGGAGGAGGAGTCCCGGCGCCTCTCCGAGCTTCTGAAAGCCTCGGAACGCAAGGAGCGGCACCTGGAGAGGGCACAGTCCCAGAGTAAGGAGCTCATGGAGCAGAAGGATTGGCAGCTTCAGAAACTTCAGGCAGACCTCCGTGGCCTCAGAGAGGCACTCCAAGAGCGGGAGAGAGCAGAGAAGGAGCGCGAGCGGGAGCTGCGAGAGGCCCAGAATCGAAACAAGGTGGTGGTCCAGAAGCAGCGGGAGATCGACCAGCTGGCCGAGGACAATCGCCTCCTGCGCGTGGCCTTGGAGGAGTTTGAGGAAGAGCGGGTGCGCGTCCTCGCGCTCGAGCGAAGCCTCCAGCAGTCACAAGAGGATTGCCAGGCGCCAGGACCCGCAAGGAGTTGGAACACACGCCACGGTTTGTTCAGCCGTTTTTGAGTGCGGACTCTTCTTTTTTCAAGCAAAGAGATGACATCAAAAAAAATGTATGTATACATATATATATATGAGGCAGGAACCTTTATGTATGATTTGACCTCCTCCTTTTGTTTTAATTCAGAGAGCATCACTAACTGTATTTGATGCTATGAGTTCTAGCACAATTATATATTTCGTTCTACCATTGGCTCGCTTTTCCTTGGTCGTCGCAAGAGTCTTTCGGAGTCTTTGGTAGTTGAGGCTTGCTGATAATAGCGTGCCTCTAGAATTCGTCGCTTGCAGAAAGCAAGGCAACTCGCGCGAGTCCTGGCCAAATCCACAGCAGGCGCTGCTACAAAGCAGGACTGCGTGGGTGGAGGTTTGCTTCATCTGCAACACGTAAAGGCTTTACAGCCTTTGCTGGAAAATCACTAAAGATACAATGCCTATGCTGCAGACTCGTAGAAATGAGCGGCCTGGAAGCTCCCAATATGCGGCTGCAGACGCGTAGAAATCTAGGGTTGTTAGGGCTTAGGGTTTAGGGTTTACGTTTTAGGGTTTAGCAACTTGCGCGAGTCCTGGCCAAATCCACAGCAGGCGCTGCTGCAAAGCAGGACTGCGTGAATGGAGGTTTGCTTCATCTGCAACACGTAAGGGCTTTACAGCCTTTGCTGGAAAATCACTAAAGATACAATGCCTATGCTGCAGACTCGTAGAAATGAGTGGCCTGGAGGCTCCCAATATGCGGCTGCAGATGCGTAGAAATCTGAGTGTTTAGGGTTTAGGGTTTAGGGTTTAGGTTTTAGGTTTTAGGGTTTAGGGATTAGGGTTTAGGTTTTAGGGTTTAGGGATTAGGGTTTAGGTTTTAGGGTTTAGGGTTTAGGGTTTAGGGCTTAGGGCTTAGGGTTTAGGGTTTAGGGCTTAGGGTTTCACAAACTTCGGGAAAGTCTGGAACGCCGCGCGTTTGAGATGCTCAGGTCATCGACAAAAACATGCTACTGGCCCATGGGGTGTGCTCCCAAGGCCATGCTTCGCCCCACTAAACCCTCAACCCTAACCCCTAAACCCGAAACCCGAAACCCTGAACCCAAACCCTAAACCCTAACCCCTAAACCCGAAACCCTAAACCCACCCCAAGCCCTAAACCCTGAACCCAAACCCTAAACCCTGAACCCCACACCTGTAACCCTAGACCCTTGACCCTTAAGCCTAAATGCTAAACAGTAAAACGACAGCCCTCTTCACCACCGCGTCGCCCCGCTGACCAAGTCCATCCAGTAGAAGCACCCGGGTCGCGAGCCTTGGCATTTTGAGCTCTGGACGTTTGTTTGGGGGGGTATCAGCAGCACACAGAAACATGCGAAAAGGCATCCCAGGCACGCGACTCCACGCGCCGCCACGTCTCGCCAGGCTGGACAGACCCAGAAGCAAGCAGCTCACGAACGACGGACTTCACCGTTTGGCGGATATCCTTGCGACGAAAAGCATCAATTACGGTTTAGGGTGTAGGGTTTAGGGTTTAATGTTTAAGGTTTAGGGTTTAGGGTTTAGGGTTTAGGGTCTAGGGACAAGAACATAGAATAGTTAGATACTAGCTAGATACATCGAGGCTCATCAGTGTTGGATCCTCCATATGGCGACCAGCGGTTGCGAGCGCGGTCCGGGAAGTCCCTTCCTCGGCCACTGGCCGCGTGTCCGCCAAGAGCATCGGCAGATACTGCCGCTTCCTACATGGCTTGGGCTTCAGAGTTTAGGATGTCGGGTAAGGAGGCGTGAGCTTCAGGGCCTTAACATCTGGGGTATAGGCCTGGAAGTCTGGAAGAGCGTTGAGGGCAGCTGCATTCGGATGGTGCTCTGAGTGTGTTCTGCAAAAGTCTGCAAAAGTCTATCCAGAGCAAGCTCCAATGATCCAATGCTGACTCATCACAATTCTTCAAAGGAACATGACCTTACCCTGAAGGCCTTGGCTGAAGATTTCTGGCTTATGAGTGTACACTTCAGCAGCTCTTATCACAAAAATGTCCATCCCAGCCCGGAAGCAAACAACGGCTGCAGGACTCAGTCATGAGATTTAATAATCCAAGACACCGTGCTCGTGCCACCAGTCTCGCCCGTCCCGCCAGTCCCAGCAGTGAAGGATGCCTTGGCACACATAGAGAGGATCGCTCGATCATTGCACCCTGAACCGCGGGCCAAGGTCTGCACTGTGCAGCCCGCTAAATTTCTACCATTGCTTGGTCCCTCGCTCGGCTCCAGCGGTTGACACGAGCAGCCTCCTGCCGGAGTTTAAGCGTAGTGTGCGCTAGCCGCTACGCTGGCGCCCACAAGCTCATCTATTCATGAGGGATACAGGTGATTTGGCGACGCACATGGACTCTCACAAATTCCTGACAGAGTCTGTCGTGCCAGATGAGGGTCCTGAGAGCTCCAGTCGCGCACCTCGTCCCGGCCCCACCAAGAGAAGTCGTGACGGTCCTGCAGAGCCGTTCCGGGCGCGGCGCTAGGACATGAAAATTGATGGTCGCTCTGGAAGATGAATATCGTGTCCACACATACAAACTCCTTAAGGGGCCCGGGCCTGCGCTAGCAAGTTTAATATTGCGAGATGCGATGTCCCGTGTCTCCTCTCTCACGCCGGAG